TGTTTCCGAAGAGCAGCTGGTGAGCTCGAACCACCAACTTTGTGGTTCTAACTGACTTTGTAGCCCAGCACATTAACCCACAGTACCACACCAGAGTTAAGTGTCGTCAATTCAATTCCGACTCATCGCAACCCTGTATAGGGTTTCCAAGTAGTGACTGGTAGGTTTGAACTTGCGCAACCTTGTGGTTAGCAGACCAGTGCTTATCCTGCAGCACCGCACCAGGAGGCCATACAATGAGAAAATCCATAAATGAAAAGATGCTGACCAGTACTCTAAATGATTAAAGAAAAACACATGGATGCTCAAAGTGGGATTACCATACTGTACATCAAAGATTGATGGATATTTATGTTCAATACTGTTGTTTTTAATAACAGCCTTACTGAGATATAATTCACATGTTTAAAGTGTTCAGGTCAATGTTTTATATATATTTATAGAATTGTGCAACCATCACCTGTATTTCAGAACATTTTTCTCACCTCCTAAAAATCCCCAGGGACTCCTGGTGTGGCACTGTAGGATTAGCACTGGACAGCGAACCACAGGTGGACAGTTCAAATCCACCAGCAGCACCTCAGAAACCCTATACAGGGTTGCTATGAGTCAGAAGTGACTTGACAGTACTTAACAGCAACAGTAAACATTCCATACCTATTAGCAGTCACTCTGCCCTTCCCCTTCCTCTCCCACATCCCTGTTGTTGTTACATGCTGTTAAGTGGGCTTCTGACTCATATCAACCCTGTGTAGGGTTTCCGAGGAATAGCTGGTGGGCTTAGCAATCCAGTGCTGATTCTACAGTGCCACCCCAGGATTCCTACCACAACCCTAGGCAACCACAAATCTACCTTCTGTCTTTCCCTATTCTAGACATTTCATACAAATAATAGCATATGGTCTTTTGTGACTGTCCAAGAAGAATTTGGAAAAGTTGTTAAGTTGTTCAATTGAACCTGCCCTGGTATTTCTAGTCTCTGCTCTCCTGACGTGTTGGCAGGCTGCTTCTTGGCTTCCTATCACAATCAAGCGGAATGATACTAATTGTATTTCCAGGTTGAGTATTTGCTCCCCTAGCCCCATTCTTATTTCATTTTCCCAGCAGCAACACAACTGGAGATGGCCGTGCTGAATTAGGCAAGGCAGCCTCAAACAGCAGATTTTGTAGGACTGAAATGTAATTTAATCCTTTCCTTCTTTGCAGTTGACCTTTTTTACCCTCTCTGAATTAGCTTTTTTGATAGATTTACTAATGATTCCCATTGTTCAGTATTTTCACTGAACTGTTGAATCATACTCTTCAAGCTGATCGTAGAGAGAGGCTAAGAAGCTGTTTTGGAAAAAGGTTTCTAATTCTTTCCAGGCAACAGGAGAAAGGAGTCTTGAGAGAACAGAGGCTGAGAGGGGCGTGCAAGTGATCACTTTGTAGAGCCTGCCTACCAGGTGACTACCATGACTACTGTGACTTTATTCCTAGACACATCCCTGAGACTTCAGGGCCTACAGCTAAAGGTCTGATTTGGAGAATGAACCTTGACAGCTGGGTTTTTCCTCATAGTTAGCCAGGATCATTGAATTTAAGCTTCCTTTGCCCCTTGTTCTGTCTTTCATCAGAATAATCTGTATTTACTTTCTTGCTCTGAGGCTTCAGGATTGTATGATAGAAATTGCACTGCTATGACAGTGAACTGACTGTTCTTATAGACAGCTGTTACTCCTGGTCTTTATGACAGTTCAGAAGAATTTGAATAAAAGTCTTGGGCTCTTTTACAAGAAGAAAGTTACCATAATCTAGAGCTTAGGCAATGACCTAAATGCCCTGGTTGTGCAGTGATTAAGGGTCAGTAGTTCAAACCTGCCGGCTTCTTTGTGAATGAAACATGTGGCAGACTGCTTTCGTAACGACTGCAGCCTTGGAAATCCAATGGGACAGTTCTTTGTCCTACAGGGTCACTAAGAGTCAGATGGGTTTGTGTCTGTTTTGGTCCTGACATGTTATTTGGACCAGTCTTTTACAAAAGGACTTCTGTGTATAAACTATTGATTACAGATCTGTATATTTAGAGGAAATGTACACAGAGATTAAGTAGAGGATTAAAATAATTATAATGGTGGCCACTATTTAGACATTGTTTGCCATCATTTGATAGTCATTGTGTCAGTAAGTACTCCCAGCATTCCTGTCATTTGTATGTAGTATTATTGGACCAGTTTTACAGATAAAGAAATTAAGGCTCATAGAGACTTAGTAATTTACCAAAAGTCATCCAGTAGTATTGACAGGAAGTATGAAAATTAAATCCATCTGACTTTGGAAGCCTGTACTCTCTGAAGTTGTGCATACACAGCAGCAGGTCAAGCTTTAAGATCATGATTTCCTAGTTCAAGCCAGTCAGTATCTCGAGCAGTTTGGGTGCATTATAGCAGTAATGGCCTTTCTAAGAGCACCTATCTTGGACTTAAAATGTCAGCTACAAGCTTGCAGTTGTCAACCCAGCCCACACCCACACACCCCCTGAACATTTGGTATTGTCTTTGGTATATAGCAACAATAACAGACTTTTTTTTTTAATAATCAAAAGTGGATGTGAGGGGGTGCTATTGGCATCCCTCTGGTGGGTAGAGGCCAGGGATGCTGAGAAACAAGCAGCCTGCAGTGCACAAGACACCTTCACCTCAAAACAAAGAATTATCTGACCCAAAATGTCAACAGTACAAAGGTTGAGAAACCCTGAGTCTAACTCCATTTTTTAAATATTTGGGGGGACCTCAGTGATCTCTCAGGATTTGCTTTCTGAGGCTCAGTGCTTTCTATGTAAATACTTTGGAGCTCAATCCATTAACTTGCTCTGGCACTTTTCCTATACCTTCAGTTTAGTGGCTTGAGGCCTATTAACTGATTAGGCTTTTTTAATAGGGTAATACTTTTTCTTCCTGATGTTTCCAAGAGACAGACTCAGTTGTCCTGCAGTTCTGCCAGAAGAGAAGCTGGTGACAGTACTCTAATCTGTTACTGGCGTCTTTCGCTCCCTAATCTATGTTTACATGGCACTGAAAATTGACTCTCCCTGGTGCCAGGCTCTGCTCCGCTCCTCCTTAGCACTCTGGCACCATTGGCAGAGAACACCTCCCCAGCCTCTTCTACACATGCTTATTTTTTTTGCACAGCTGCTCTCCAGAAGCTGTTTGTTGGGGTGTGGACTGTGCTGGACACCTCTGGTGCTGTGGGTCAGTCTCAGTCTCTCCAGTTCACAGTTGTGGCACTCTTTAGCCTCTGGTGATATTCCTCCACTGTTTCTTGTTTGTACTTATCTCCTTCCCCAGATTTGAAGTTTCCAGAATAATGGGGTTTGTTCCTTCCATTTGTTTTTCATCCTCTCTCAACTTGCAACATTCCATTCCACTCATCATTCCAAGAAAGTCAACTTGCCTTGTGTTTTGGGTTCTCTGTTTACCTGTGAAAAGGTAAAGGAAATGATAAAGCACTAACGCTCTGTTTGTTCTGTTGTCCTTTGCAAGGGAGTAGGCTTTGGCCCCCATGAACCAATTTTCACCCTCATGGAGGTAGTATTGTCCTTGTTGAGAATTGGTAATCTAAAAGTATCATAGTCTTAGAAATGAAGTTACTTGGACCATTCACTTACAAATTGAAATTGGGACAAGAACTCCATCAAAAACCTAATATTGAGAGAGTCTGCTGATGCGATGATCAGCAGCAGTTGGGGAAGAGAGAAAAGAGTATTTTCTCATATTTTGCGACTTGATGGAGTATATCTTATCCCTGAGAAATCTCTTGACTGAGGAAAGAAAGGAAAACACCAGGAGTAACAGAACAACACACACACATGTGTGTGTATGTTTGTACATGTGTATGTGTGTGTACACACAATGGATGTAACAAGGCCCTTTTGCAGTGATCTGTAGAGGAAGGAGACTAGGGACACAGAAGAATCTAAGCATAAAATTGTCCATTGTTCCAAGGTCAGTAAGCTATAACGAGTTCAATTTCTCAAAGTAAGAGTTGATTTGCAGCAGCAAATATCATTTAGGTTGTCTAGCGCGCACGAATGTTCTATTCTCCCAAGAGGGTTTGGCTATGTCTAATCAGAAGGGTGGTTGTCTGTGAAATGCACCTCGGAAGGAGGAGGAGGAGGAAATGACATGTTCATGTAAATGAAATACAACTGCAAATTAAAGTGTCACCCTGTTTTTTTAAAAAAAATCCATTTTTTATTTAATTGGTTACCAAGGAAAAAAATGTCATACAGAAGTGTATGTCTCAGAAAGTTAAACCGTGAGATGTTGCAAGTGCATCTCAATTCAAGGAAGTGCTCATATGGGGGGGGGGGTATGAAATATTGCCTTAATAAAAATATTCTTATGCTGCAAAGCTAGGCTTATAAATTTTTGCTGTGTTACATGCCAGGGGTTCAGAAGAGATCAACAAATCTTACCTCATTGGTTCCTTACTGTCTCTATCCAGTCAGCGGTGTGCTGGCTTTCTGACCTGGAGGGAGCCTTCATTTAGAATGCTTTATTAGGAAGACAGTTACAAACAAAAGGAGGAGATCTTTCTCCCAAAGAGCACTGCTCCCTACAAAGACTTCCAGGGACGAGTGCTACTGGCCTTGAGGTGTTCATGGTACTCCTTCTTTTACTTTTCTTCTCTGATATTATGAAAAAAATCAAAACTCAACTGTCTCTCTAGATTGTGAGCTTCCCAGACAGTGTCTGTACAGTACCTGCCACGTTGTGGACTAAAGAGAAGTCAAGTGATTATGGGAAGGGATGATGGATTGGATCCAATTCCCATATAGTGTTCTTTGGGAAATGCGCCTGCTTCCTCCTTGAGACAGATGGGACTTGGCAGCTTTCTTCAGCCTTAATTGTGGTTCCTCTTGTTCCCCCTCTCTACTAGTCACAGTATTGTTTTTATGTTCTTCAGTGGAAGTAGATCAATAAATAATATAATGTGCTCTTTGCCTTCTTCCCCATTAGGGGCTGTGATTGGTGATGGACAGTCTGCGGTGGCCAGTAACATTGCCAATACTACCTACCGGCTCCAGTGGTGGGACTTCACTAAGTTTGACCTCCCAGAAATCAGTAATGGTAAGCTGAGGTAGACCTCGGGATATTAGTGGAAGTGGGGAGGTATCTTTTACTGGTAAGCCAGAACTCAGGAACTCATATAATACTGGGGTTTTCTAAGTCACTTGTTGGGTGACTATTGCCACGTGCCTCATCTGCCATACGCTCTTCTGCAACTCTCAGTTAATTTAATTCAGCAAATATGTATTGAATACCTGCACCGAGCAAGGAACAATACTAGATACTAAGGTGAACACAAAAATGAACATGTTGTCTATGCCCTAAGAAATTTGTAGGCCGAAGCCTACAAGTTTGGGTAGAACTCAAAGGAGAAAGAAAAAGGACTGAGAGCTAGACCTTGTGACTCTCAAGGAAAAATGTTGTTGTTTTTGTCAAGTGCCGTCGAGTCGATTCCAACGGATAGCAACCCTGTATAGGGTTTCCAAGGAGCAGCTGGTGAACTTGAACCGCTGACCTTGCAGTTCAAACGGCTTTTCAGTCTGGTGCATTAACCCACAGCAGTGTTAAATTCATTTATGGATCCCGATCTGAATGGAACGGAGTGAATGGCATGATTAATGTGAAATTTACAGACATGTCCTGTCTAATAGTCCAGTTTCCTTACTTCTGAGGAACTACGCAATCCCATGGCTCAGTTGGAATCACATTTTAGACATCTCATTTCACTTTCTGTCTAATGAGGACCTTATATCATTCATTCTTGAGCTGTATTAGTTCAGCTAATAAGAGACCACATTGCCTGACACAATGACCTAACCCATCACTGCTAAATTTTAGTTAAAATGTTCTTTCTTGTACTGAGCTGTTGTTTTCCTGGTCACTTCCTCCCATTGGTCTAAGTTCTACCTCTGGAGTGACACATATTTCTCTTGCAGATCTGGTTTCAAAAACCTTGACACTTCTGTTCATCTTCCCTTTTGATTTTGGGATCCCAAAAAGCTCCAGCTGTGAGCTGTCCAATATATTGTTGTTGTTGTTGTTGTGAAGTGCTGTCGAGTCGGTTCCAACCCATAGCGACTCTGTATAAGGTTTCCAAAGAGCAGCTGGTGAGCTTAAACTGCCAATTTTATAGTTCAAACGGCTTTGAAGTCTGGCTCATTAACCCACAGTGCCATACCAGGAATCCGTCCACTATGTAGGATCTTGGTATTTGTGAAGCCTAGGGTTTCAGCACTCAGTCTTACATCATCTGCTAATTTGATAATGTGCTTTTTCTCTTTCTCTGCATTTTTTCAGATTGTTAGTGCAAGTGGGGGATCAGTCAGAACATTGCACCTAGCCTTGTGATTTGTGGGCTTCCTAAGCAGTGGTGAAGGTTCATGAACTAGCACCCTCGGCCCACATTTTTCTCCTCTGTCTATAGCAGTTTGTCAGATGCCTTAAAGAGATCAAGATAGTCTGTATCTGTGGCATTTCCCGATCCACCAATCTTGAAGTCTTTATCAGATAGGGAAAATGAGGTTAATTTTTCATATCCTATTCTTAGTAAAACCTCAGTTGCAATTATCCATTTCTTTTGACGTGCTCATAAGCCACATGTCCAATAATCTGTTCTTAAACTCTGCTGGGAATCTACTGCAATCCGCTGCTACCCTTATTTGAAAGGATTCATCTTGAGAGTTCTGAACCAGATTGTATTTACCATAATTTATTTAGTTACTTTGTTTCTTAATCTTGCCATCTTTGTTCCTTTTATTGTAATTTGAAATAGATAATAGTCACTGTTCAAACTTTTAAAATAGAAAATACACTGAAGTCTCCCAGCCGTATACCCTAGCAATCTACCACACCTCCCCATAATCCAAATTTTCTTTCCACTATTAGCACTTTCTCATACATCTTTTCAAGGGTATATTTGTGTATACAAGCAAATATTAATTTGTGTCTTCTACCTTTTTTCCCCACTCTAATGGTATCATATTATACATACTCTTCTGAAATTTTTCTTCTTCATTTAAAAATTTATCTTAGTGAGCTTTTCATATCCATAGAGAAAGCGTTTTACTCATCCTTTTTTATGTCTGCTTAGTATGACAGTCTAAGGAGCTCTGGTAGCATAGTGGTTATGAGTTGGGCTGCTAACCTTAAGGTCAGCAGTTCAAAACTACCAGCCATTCTTTGGGAGAAAGATGCGGCTTTCTGTTCCCGTAAAGATTTATAGCCTTGGAAACTGATTCCACGGCACACTGTCACCACCACCACCAGTACCTAGTCTGAATACGCCATAATTTTTCACCAGTTTCTTTTTGAGGACCCTTTAAAATGGTTCACTCTTTTGTTGTATAAACTGTGCTGCAGTTAGTCAGTTTGCACCTGTGAAAGTATAGCTATAGAAAAAATTCTTAGAAATGGAATTTCAGGGAAAAAGGGCACATGCGTTTGTAATTTTGATAAATATTGCCAAGTTGTCATCTATAGTAGTTAGTGCCATCAAGTTGGTTCTGGCTCATAGGGACCCTGTATAAAGTTTCTGAGGAGTGGCTGGTGGGTTTGAACTGTTGATCTTGTGGCTAGCAGTCTAGTGCTGATCCTACAGCACCACACCAGGACTCCTTCTTCTGTAGTTGTTGTTGTTGTTGTTAAGTGCCATCGAGTCAGTTCAAACGGCTTTGCAGTGTGGCGCATTAACCCACAGCACCACACCAGGACTCCTTCCTCTGTAGAGGTGGTGCCAATTTATACTCCCACCTGATGTTTATGAGAGTTTCCCTAAGCCCTTGCTGATAGAATGTGTTATCAAATATTTTGGATATGTGCAAATCTAATAGATTTTTTATCATAATATTTCAATATATTAAATTTGTAATTTTTATATTATAAATGAAGTTGCACATCTGTTCATATAATTAAGAGCCATTTGTGTTGCTTTTTGTTGACCTATCTGTGTACTTTGCTTTTCTCTTGTGTTGCTGGTCTCCTCCTTATCAAATCTATGTTGTTGTTGTTAAGTACTGTTGAGTCTGTTTTGACTCTTAGCAACGCTGTATAGGGTTTCCAAGGAGCAGCTGGTGAGTTTGAGCTGCTGACCTTGTGGTTCAAGCCAATCTTGCAGTCAATCATTCACCCTACAATGCCACATTAGGAGTTCTTATCAAAGTAAGACAATTAACATAATAGGAGTTTCCTAGTTATTTTGTCTTTTGACTTTGCTAAAGGTAATTTTCATCACAGAACTTTCAAAAGTAGTTAAAATTATTCATCTTTCCTTCTCTGGTTTCTGGGTTTTGTTTCATTATTAGGAAGATCTCATTTAGTATATTTTAGTTTTTTACATTTAAACCTTTGATTCATTAGGCAATTTAACCTTAGTCACAAATAAGCGAAGTCCTTTTTCTCCACACGGTTTATCATTTGTTTCTACATTGGTAAAATATTTTGTTCCCCACCGGTTTGTGGTGTATATTTTGATATTATTAGATTTGAGTAGATTCTAATTCATGAGGACCCCATGTGAGCACAGTAGAACTGCTCCATAGGATAGTCTTCATGACTTTGACCCATTGGAAGCAAATCACCAAGTCTGTCTTCTGAGATGCCTCTCAGTGAATTAGCTCTGTCAGCTCTTAAGACAGTAACTAGGAGCCCAGGTGGTGCAATGGTTAAGCACTTAGCTGCTAACCTGTAGGTCAGAAGTTTCAATCTACCAGTCATTCCTTGGGAGAAAAGACATGATGGGTGATCTGCTCCCATAAAGATTATAACCTACAAAAACCCTGTGGGGCCAACCCACTAAATATATCTAAATATTGTTGTTTTGTGCTTTCAGTCAGAATTGATTGAACAACACAAAACAATATTTAGATGTATTTCTGGGCTATCCATTCTATAATTTGATAGCCTGTGTTGTAATACCACATGGTTTTAAGTTCTGTATTAGAATTCTGATAGAATCTAGCACCCCTTTGTTATTTTTTTTTTCCACCTGAAAAAAGAGCTTTGGTAGCACAATGGTTAAAGCAAATTCCTTCTTTTTCTTGACTATTTGCTTTTCTATGTGAACTTTAAAACCACCTTTCTATCCCCACTCCCAGAAAAAATCCTGTTAGTACACTTCATTCAATCACACCAAATTAATAAACAAAGGCGGTGCCACAATTTTCTACCAGCTGACTTAAGAGTGTGCCATGGTTATCTGGGTTTCCTAGTTTTGCTGTGTTCTAGTTTTTAAAATACTACAATCTTACTGAATTTCTTTACTAATTAAGAGTCTTGGTGTGGTGCTGTAGGATAAGCACTGGACTGCTAACTGGAAAGGTCAGCAGGTTCAAACCTACCAACCTCTTCTTGGAGACCCTATCCGGGTTTGTTATGGGTTACAACTGACCCAGTGGCACTTAATAAGAACATAGAATTTGTTTCCTATTTATAGTTAGCATGGACTTTATAGGTAAGGTATCTGGAAATACTTTTCTCTATTCCAATTTTCTGAGTCTTGGTGTGATGCCATAGGATTAATACTGGAATGCCAACCAAAATGTTAGCCAGTCAAACCCACAATCCAATCTTTGGAAACCCTATACAGGGTCACTTTGAGACTAAATCAATTCAACGATGCTTAACAACAACACCAGTCTCACAGGACTGCTATTAAAGAGTTAATACAAGCACTCTGAACAGTACCGGGACTTACTATAGTGGGGATTGCACCATGGATATTCGAGGATGTAAGTCATCATTCTGAAGGTCCCATCTGTCCACATTTTAAGTAACCTGAGATACAGGCAGTTTCCAGGTTATGAACGTTCGACTTCAGGAACAACAATGATCTGCCCTTTGCTCTTTAGTGTTTTGTGAATTTGCCCTCCCTTTGAAATGATTAAACCAACCCCTGTTGTTGCTGTTAAGATCCTGTATAGGGTTTCTGAGGAGCAGCTGGTAGGTTTGAACTGTCGACCTCTACTTGCGACAAATTCTTCATCACAGTCACTTTACAATCACCTTCACTTGCTTCACCTTTTCTTTCACTAACCCACCCTGACACATAGTGCGACTATAAGACA